TTTTCTCCTTTTGAAATTGTTTATGGTTTTAATCCACTTACACCTATGGATTTAATGCATTTGCCTGTGCATGAACGAGGTAGCTTGGATGGGAAACGAAAAGCTGAGATGGTGAAAATACTCCATGAAAAGGTCAGGATGCAGATCGAAGAGAAAGGAAAGCTGATTGCATCAAAAGCAAATAAAGGAAGAAGACGCGTTACATTTGAGCCTGGAGATTGGGTTTGGATGCATTTCAGAAAAGAGTGTTTTCCAGAACAGAGGAAGTCAAAATTGCAACCACGAGGCGATGGACCGTTTCAAATCATCGAGAGGATCAATGACAATGCATACAAAGTGGATTTACCAGGTGAGTATAATGTTTCAACTACTTTTAATGTATCTGATCTCTCTCTGTTTGATGTAGGTTCAGATTCGAGGATTAATCCTTTTGATGAGGGAGGGGATGATATGATCCAGGAGTCGAGCCCGTCGAAGGCAAGTGCGAGACGAGACCCGTTGATAGTTGATGGCGGACCAATAACGCAATCAAGGGCAAAGCAAGTGAAACAAGCGATGGGATTGCTCGTTCAAGAAACCATGGATGGAACCATGTTCGGGACTCAAAATGGAGCAACTTTCATGTTCGGGTCGAAGGTCGAATCAACTTGGATCAATTTGTTATCAAGCGACGAAAGCGGAGGCAGAAAACAATACCATGCGGCCGCACACATGGTTCCCGAAAACAAAAACTCCAACTCAAGTTAAACCATGCGACCGCATGGATTTATACCATGCGGCTGCATGGGCCAAAAAAATTGGCGATTTTTCTATTTTTGGCCGAATTTCATAATTTCGATAGAATTCTTATGGAATCAAATTATTACCATAATTTGATAGTTTTGGACGTTTTTATTCATTAGTATAAATAGGAGAATATATTTTCATTGTAAAGACCTTTGAACTTTTGACTTTAAATTAATATTATCGAGAGAGAAATTTCTTCTTTCAATTTAATTGTTCTTCTTGAACAATTTTGGAACTTATCAAAATTCAACTTCTCGTGGCGTTCTATCAATCGGATTGTGGGTTCTTTCAATTGTAATCAAGGGGTTTTAGGTTCTTCGCTAATCTAAGATTTCTTGGTTCAATTCTTGGGGTTCAAAATCCAAAACCGAGTTAGTATTGGCGTTCTTGGGTTCCGCATCAATCTCGTTGTGGGTTTCGTAGTTTCCATTGCTACGGGGTTCGCATCATTTAGGTCCGCTATTATTTGTTACGAGCCGTATACTTGCGGAAAAAAATTGACAACATCTACCACCCTCCTCTCTCATCGAATATTTGGATGCAGTTTCATTTATTCACCCAATATTTGAGTTACACTAAGATTAAATTTTAAAGTGTGTTCAAATTTTATATATTTAAAAATGAAAATTACTACATATTTTATACGAGTTGAACCAGAGATAGACTTGAAACAATTTATAGCATTATTAATTTGCATAAAAGTTACTAACATAGTTACGTAGAAGGTAACTTCATTGTTACTTTCTAGAAAAATAAGCTTACTCTTAATTAATTTATAGCATGTTTGAGTTCCATTTTTATTGAAAAATGTATTTTAGAATAGTAGATTGATGGAGAATGTGTGGTTGAAAATAATTAAAAAAATTTGGTTTGCATATAATGTTATTTTATTGAAAAATGTGTAGTTGAAAAGATGAAAAAGAAAAATGTATTTTAAAAACTATTTTGCTAGTGGTACATCGTAGTGTACCTAATGGTGTACACCCCACTCATATGGACGAGGGACCCACTTAAATAAAATATCCTTTCTTTCACATCGGTCCCACACCCATGTGAGGGTGTACACCATTCGGTACACCCCATTATGTACTACTAAACAAATTCTTTTAAAAATAATGAGATTCAAATAAGGGCTTAATCACCTTGGAACAATGCACGTAGGCTTCATTACCAACGCACCCCACGCCACCCTTAATCGGAGTTGGTTGGTTGTTGGACGGAACATAATACAGAAAGAAATGACACTGCCATCTGCTAAAATAAGTAAATATTGAATGGAAAAAATAATACATAGGGTAAGCTAACTATTCTTGAAAGAATCTCAACCTTTTGACAATTCATAGATATTCACACAAATTTCAGATCGGTGAAGCATAAAAAATAAATTGATCTTTTAAGATAGACCATCAAATTTTAATATACATATGAATTGACAATGGATCCATTGTTTCCAAGGTCATTATTCTGAACGTCTAATGGATTGCGCAAGTGCAAAATCAAGAAAAATCGAGAACAAGTTCCATATGTGTACTTGCATACTTTTTTGTCGTAATAAACTCTATCCGAGCACTATTAAACGATAGAGTTAGCATTTTGGGTCAAAATTTCCCCTGCACGACACATGAACAGCAATCAAATTGCACTCATTAACATCACTAGTCCATAAATGGTTGTGACTAGAAGACAAGTCACATCTTCAAGAGAAGAAACATCCCCAACCCCAACTGTGTCCTTGCCCCACAGCCATCCCCCACCCCACCCTATCTCCCAATATCATATTCTTGATTCTTTCTTTCTAACCTGCCTAAATTATTATAGGAATATTATCTGAATCTTTCCTATCCACATTTTCAATGTAGTTCCAATGAGGTCCCGAAAGATGAACACACTGTTTTCGAAGAATACAAAGAATGGTTCCTATTTCGCAATCTACAAACTTCTTTATGCTTGTGTAGTTGTGTGGTAAAGATAAAAAAAGTCGTTAAAAAGTTATGATCAAAGTCAAAAATTCGTTTTAATCATACATTTCATAGAACCAACACATTTTATGAACTTTTCAAATATAAATTCCATCAATTTTATTGAAATATACTAAGACTTTTAGCAAAAACTTTGTCAAAACAACCCTTTTATTTGAAAAAGATGATGACATTAAAAAGTGTTGGATTTTTTTTTTTTTTTATCCAAATTAGGTTGAATTTTTGAGAAAATAATTTTTTCCCTTCTTTGCACGTATTTTTATTAGGAAAATATTATTTCACTTATTCCATATGATTTTTGATATTATTTCCATCTTTATGGCATTTCTAAATTTTGGCATGCAGTCCTGAAATACTAGACCTTTTTTCACAAATTTTGTATTACTGAAGGTTTCAGTATTTGTTTTCTTCATATAGTCAATTGAATAAAATACTCCGTTCTTCTATCAATTAATTCATTATCTTTTATTTTATTGTTTTTTTGTGATCATATACTTCATATCGTGTCGTGTATATTACCTCGATTCATTTTATTTTCCAAGAAAAATATGAGATTTGACGATCCAAAAATCCCTGGCTAAAGCCCCCAGTTGGGTTATTAAAAATCTAGCCACAGTTAGATGTCACCACACAATAAAATCCAATATTATTTGAGGCACGCGAAAGGTATACACCTTTCATGAATTTCGAAAGAATACAAAGATGATTTTCTACTTAGCAATCTACAAATTTTTTTATCTAGACTAGAAAAGAGGGCGACACTTAAATTGGATTTAGCGATCAAAAAATCCTTTGCTAAAACTCTCAAATCGGTTCTTGAAAGTTGAACCCCAAATCTAGCTATACTTATCACACAATACAAGTCAAGATTATTGAGGTCCCCAAAAGGTAGAACTTTCTTCACGCGTTTTAAAAAATACAAAAATCATTTCCTACCTAGCAATCTACAAGCTTCTTTACCTAGAAAAGAATGTGACACTTAAAAATATGGGTGGTTGAAAGACGGGTCGCAAATCCAGCGAGACTTGTGTCATCACACTATAAAATCCAAGACTATCAAGGACAATGGATTTGTATGAAAAAATGAAATCATATTGAGTTGAATCCATCGTTAAAGAATATCCAGTTGATTATATCCCACTAAGATATAGAATAAGGTTATGTACAGTGGTGAATCCAGGATTCAAGTTCAGCTAGGGCGGTTTGACCGTAGACCGACGATCGTTGATTGTCGAAAATCGTCATTGTCCGATATTTATTAAAATTTGGTTACATAATATTAAAAGTTATTTAATATATATGTAAATGAACTAAAACGTCAAAATCGTATACATATAAAAATATACTTCGATACAACCCAAAATAGTAAAAAAAAAATATACGATACAACCTTACTCAGTTACTCTGTAACTGTAAATTTAGACAATTGTATTCTACGGGGTCTCATAATTTGAAAACGTTGCAATATTGCCTCATTCTCAAGTTGTTTAAAAATAGTTTTCTCCACGTAAACCACCAAATTGTCATTCAACCAGATATCACTCATTTTGTTGCGCAAATCACTCTTGATTAGATTCATAGCAGAAAATAACCTTTCAACACTTGTAGTTGCCACAGGTAATATCAAAGCCAAGGTGAGCAGTCTATAAACCAATGGAAAATAACAAGAACTTCTAGTTTCAATCAACTTTTGAGCTACACAGGATATACTATTGAGATTAAAGAAAGCTTCGTCCATTCTCACAAGCAAAAGAAATTTATCAAACTGAGGTCTAAGTAATAAAAGTTCTTCACTATTGAAGTCCAAAGGATAGAACTGAGCAAGACGTAGCAATTTATCCTTATCAAAAACTGCAAATGAATCTCTTGGACTTAAACATGAAATGCAAGTAAAGAGCTCAGTAGTGGTTTTTGGAAATCGATCATTCAACTCTTGCAAGATTGAATCTATCACATGACAATACAAATCAACATAAAAGCGATGAAAATAAGTCACCTGTTGAGCTACACGCCTAGGTCGACCTTTCACCACTACAATATCCTCCATATTAGGTACTAAATATGTCTATCAACACAAAACTCAATCACCCTACTGAACAAAGTATCCCAACCATTCTCTCTCAAGTTCTGCAATGCACACTTACACAAATTCAATAACCTCATAGCATTCTGAATACCCTGGTCCTTTTTCTGTAAGGCTTGTGAAAGGTCGTCTGTAATTACAAGAATTTCAAATATAAAGTGAAGACTGAACACAAACTCAAAATCTTGCATATTGTTCATCTGTCTTAAGGCCAAAGATTTTTGATCTGAATGTACGCCATCTTCTGATATATTCTCAAGAACATCTATAATAGCATTAAACATATTAATGAAACGAGTAACTGTCAATAAATGTGAGCCCCATCTAGTATCACCTGAGCGTGCCAAACTCATTTCTTGAAACTGACCACTTCCACCAGTAAGTTCCCTAGTATTAAGTTTCTCCAGAATATTAGTTTGATAACTTGTTCGAAGAACATCTACACGCTTACATGATGCACCAACCAAATTCACAATAATAGCAAGTACGTCCAAAAAATCACTAACCATACAATTCCTACGTGCTACAGATACAATTGCCAACTGAAGTTGGTGAGCAAAGCAATGAACATACATAGCATGCGGGTTCTCTCTAAGAATTAAAGCTTTCAACCCATTGAACTCACCTGACATATTACTTGCTCCATCATAGCCTTGACCTCTCAGACTAGATGTACTCAACCCATGTGTAGAAAACATTGCATCAATGACATCTTTCAGTGATTGGCCACAAGTATCGTGACATGGGATATACCCAAAAAACGCTCCTTCACCTGCCCACTTTTATCAACAAACCTTAAAACAACTGCCATTTGTTCTTTCATAGAATTATCGCGAGCCTCATCAACTAAAATTGAAAACAGAGAATCACCAATCTCATTGATATAGCCCTTGTCGTCTCTACAGCACAACAATTAATCAAATCCTTTTGGATGGTTGGTGAAGTCATTTGGTCGTTTCCAGGAGCATTACTAAATAATATTTCTTTAATTTCCTTACAACAAGCTGCATACCAGTTCAATACCTCAATTAGATTTCCTCTATTAAGAGACTCTTTCGATTCATCATGACCACGAAATGACAATCCTTGCATCAAGAGGAGTCTAATACAATCTAGCACCGCAGTCAACCTGGTCCTATAACTTTGTTGTTGACTACTACTTTGGCTAAAAATAACGTAAGAGATACTTTGCTTTTGATTCATCAAGTTGGTACACTTTGCAAAAGCTTGATTATGAGAACTATCAAAGAGACCGACATGATCTTTCAATGTCTTTTTGTGCTTCCAATCCCTAAAGCCGGTCTTAGTAAATATATGTCCACCCCCTTGACCCCCTCTATCAGGTTTGAACAGGTAGCAATGCAAACAATACGCCGTATCCTTTTCTATACTGTATTCCAACCAATGAAATTCGGAGAACCATTCTTTTCGAAAACATCTATTATCATTCCCCATCGGTCTTCTTGGGAAATCATGTTCATATGGTTGACAAGGACCCTTCTCCAAGTATGCCATCCTAACAACATCTCTAATAGTAGGATCATATGATTCGATAGGGGGCCGTATCCCTGGATCAGATACAAGATCATCCACATTATATTGAGCCCGAGACTTCTTTGTGTTATTCAATAACTCTTGTGCTCTACTAGAATCAGTGACGAGACTAGACCCACACTAGAAGTAGAAGAATTGGGTATGGACTTTCGTTTTGGTTGAAAAAATTGTTCTATAATCTGCAAAATATCATCCTAAACGTAAATTTCCAAATCAATAATCATTCCTAATATCATATTCCCTCATCAAATCATAAATTACTCATCATCAAACACGGGAATTGAAACCTAATGTCAACAAGTTTCTTACTGGAAGTCTGGACCAGACTATACATTTAATTTCATGTTTTTGTTCCATTTATAGCATTATGGAGAAATTCTTTATGTTTCACTAATACATTATCGCAAAGATCTAATTCCATTAAATTGTTGTCAAATTCTTTATGAGAAGGTAATTCTAATTCTGAGTGTCATTTTTGTTTTCAACTTTTGTCCCCTTCATTTTTGCTTAGTTTAGTGCTCATTGCTCAATAGTAAATACTAGACTGTGAACATACAACTTAAACAGGAAGTTCATGTCTAACGATTTATTAACCTCAATATATTGTATAATTAATTCTACAATGTATGTACCAAAAAAAAAAGAAGAATAATAAAATTCTTTATTCCCGTCTTCAAATTCTCACTTTTCCATTCAAGAATTCCATTTATCACTTCACAGTTCACTGCTTCACAAATCACAGATTCACAAGTCAAGAACATAAAATTCCAACCCCATCGACATTCGCCTCTCACTGTCTCGCACTGTCGCACACTCGCACAAGTCACAACTCACACACACGTTTCTTCAAGAGACAAGACTATTACTCTTCAAATTCCCATTCTTGAAATTTGTTAGCATTTTTATGCACATCATCAACACCAAAACCCAAAATAATAATAATAATAATAATAATAATAATAATAATAATAATAATAATAATAATAATAATAATAAAGAGTGAAAGAAGGAGTCACCACTCACCGGTCCAAAATTCCGATGCCTGAAGTCTGTGGTGTGAATTTGGAGTAAGAAGAAGTGAGATTGAGGAAAAGGGTTTGGTAATTTGGGAGAAATTCACAATTCTTGGCGCTACGCCTGCTGCCTCTCGTCTTCTGCTGGCTCGGTGTTGGGGTTGGGAATTGGGATTGAAAAATGAAAATGTCAACTGTCAAGGGCAAATAAAATGGGTTATGGGTAACACTAACGGGTTGGCTAAATTCATTTGGGTTGGGCTAAATAAATTAAATAACGATAGCCCAAAATTTAATATACTTAAGAGTTAAGCCCAAACCCAACCAAAAAAATTAAAACCCAGCTGTGCCTTCACCACCCTTCAGTCTTCGTCTTCCTTCTTCAGTTCTTCTCCAATGGCGCAACTGTAGTCTGCAACTCCTTACTCCTTATTTACCCAGCGACTTTGTAGATTCCGGCGGAGCCAGGACGTGCGGCCGCGCCCCCTCGCCGGGTGCTGGCTCCGCGCCTGGTTATGTAACACTATGTTACTCAATATTAGTATATGCGATAGTGAACTCCACTAATTCATCATCAAATGAATCAAAATGTATTCCAACTTTATAAGAAAATGACTCAACGAAATCCATTACCACTTAATTGGTGATAAGTACCCATAGTACTATGCACATAACATCACTCTTGGAAGTATTTGAAATGCATTTTTAAATCCCAGCAAAAATAATTACATCGAGATAGATAATAGTAATTTGTCTCAAATTTGCAAGGGAACCAAATTACCTATTTTGAGACATTTCAGGATCGAGTATTGATGCAATATTTATTGATGAATACTACAGATTTTAGAAATTATTCTAGTTGAATATCAAAGTCCCACTATTACTGCAATATAAGAAAATCTTGAAAACAAAATAATATATTCCAAATGTTGGTTGAAGTTGGGACAATGGATCCCATAGTGGGGGTCATTGATTAGAATGTTTAGCATGGAAAATGGGTTTGACCATTCATTATCTTTCATCTAATCATATGGTTTCGTGCCTGTTTTATATTTAATCAATTTAAAAAATAAATGTAGAGATTAATGGAATGACTTTCTCCTTTTCTTTTTTGCTTTTCTCGAGATGAGATATTTTTTGTTTCACGAGACGGGATTTGTTAAAAAATTAAATATTTACTTTATTCGACGATGAATATTTAATCACATATCTTCAAGATGAATATTTCAATCATTTTTAGTACAATAATATTTAGAGAGTTGGACTTCAACAACAAATTATCTTGTACCTCAATAATATGTTTTTATTTTCATGAATTTATAGTTCATTTTTGATGAAGACCTTGTTGGTCCAATCCTCAAAAAAATTAGACCTATATCTTTTAAGGCTGGATCCATATGTATAGAAATGGACTTTACCATATCAATACAGAAATCTCACATGAAGTGGACCCCATGTGAATAAAATAATGTCAAACCCCTCGTCTCCTTGTGTCTTATCTGAAGGGGTTACAGAACCCCTCATTCTATGCATGAAGAAGTGCTCATCTTTTAATAGCCACCACGAGGTTCCAATAGCCCAAAAGCAGCCAGTTTCTAGTGAAACTTTTTCTTGTGAAATTTTGTCGGCTGAGGTGAAGTAGTAGTGATCCGGCAATGTTTTATTTTTTTATTTTTATTTTTATTTTTTTTTAACGAGGTGTCCCAGCTTACGTCAGACTATATTCTTGTCCCTGAACCTCCGGCCCCTCAGGGAGGTAAATCGCAGGTTGTGCCCTTGTTGGTTCCCAGGTTCCCACATGGCTTTTACTCCTTCCCCAAAGGGAGCCTCCTCCATAGTTATTACATCACCAAACTGCTCCAACCCTTTCTCTGGTTATTACATCACTTGGCTGCTCCAACCAGGAATCGAACTCCCCACACTTGGTTCCAGAGCCCCCCAATGTGATTGTTCCACCAACTTGGATGTGCCCTGGGGGGCATAGTGATCCGGCAATGTTATAATGGGATTTGGTTGTTGATGGCCAATTTGACTGACGGTTAGATCCTTATAAAATAAGTTTTTTGTTCTTCAATGTACTGATGGAATAACATTACACATATATACTACACCTAAGTCCACTATCAAACAATCATTTTCAAAAAATTAAAAAAAATAAAATTGAACCACTTAGATAATTTATCCCAATTTTGTGTCTTTTATTTGGTCAACCATTTTTGGAAACTTTGGCGTCCTTCTTAGTGCAACCAACTGCAAATTTCCAATTGACTAACAAATATAGAAGATAGAGTATAAAAGGAATATAATTAAATTTAAAAAAAAAACTATATCTCATGACTTACAAGTTACTAATATGTTATTCTTTAAACCAAGTTTGCCACCAACTTAGTTTGCTAAAATTTGTTCCTTTTTAGCCCCCGTTTGGTGTACATTATTTGGGAAAATAATACATTTTTTTCATCAAATCAGCCTAAAATATTTGACTTCAACACTCTAAGGTAGGACCCATGATGTGATGTTTAAAATGCATTTTTGTTGAAAAAATGTGGAACAAATCGCCCCTTAATATGTTTTGTCAAAATTTGTTCAATATGTTACGGGCAAGATAGAAATGTTTTGACAAATTTGAAGTCTTTTTGCAAGTCAAATAGTATTGGAATGGACTAACTAAAGTCAGAGAGAGTCGGTATTACATAATAAATATTCTCAATTGTGTGAGATTATGCAAGCCAATTTTCTCGAGCGCAAAAGAGGAGAGAAAATGCTCAAGTCGCTCGCTTGAGTGAGCAACTCTGCAGGAATAACACTGCACATCAATTCGTGAATGGGTTGGTGTGGAAGAAGAAAGATGAGAATATAGATCTTACAACATATTTATCAACTTCTTCCTGCTTCAAACCTAAAATTTAGAAAAAAAAAAAAATTGTTCTTGTGCAATAAATAAGTCTTTACTTTTGTTTTGAGAAAACTCATTAAGCACTTATTAAATCCTCAAGCTATTTGTCAATAAATTCCATAAGTAAAATCTCATTAATCGAGAGAGGACAAACAACATTTTTAAGACAAAGTTTAATTACGTGTCTAAGCCTTGTTCTAGTTTCTTTCTCTTGTTTTGTGTTCCATTCTCTAGCACTTGTATGTTCTCTCTATTTGTCAACGGATTTATGCCGCTAAGCCCATGTTTGGTTTCGCTAAAAGTTATATTTTCAATGAATTTTTATAAATGTCGATGAGATGTATGGTTACAAAGTTGATAAAAGTTTTGAATTCCATAAAATGTGATTAAAATTAATTATTGATTTTAACTTATATTTTTATCAAAATTTTTAACTAAATTAAACTGGATTAAATCTCTCAAAGCTCTCCTTAGAGTAGAATGAGCAATTTTAAATTTATTGTAAGTCCAAATGATAAATTCAATAACTTCTTATTAAATCACGTCTGTTAAGTAGAAACATTGAATTAAAAGTCTTATATATTTATTTGTTATTAATATAATTGTGTCTAACCTAACGTATTAAAAATCGAGTCGAAAGTAAATACAAACATATGGTATTTTAGGCAAGGACGTGGCAAGATCAGCGACCATAGTTTGCAAGTTTTGTGACAACCAGAAGCCAAGCAACATTACAAGGTTATTGCCTAGTATGCTGTCCTGTTCCCAGATATCATGGGAGAGGCCCACTTAAAAAATAAATAAATAAATAATCCACCAATAATGTAGTGTGTGAATTTGGACCCCTCACATCCGAAACTAAGCGTGTTGGGCATCGTGATGATCACAAAAAAGATTATTTGCTACTAATCGACCATTTAAGCACAAGATGAGCCATGTCGAGTCAAATTATGAGCTAGTTTATCTTAGTGAGAATGTAAGTCGAGTTGAACAACCTAAACATAGTATAAACCATGTCAACTTGTGGATTCTTCAAAATAAATCATATCAAG